AGCAATCAGGCAAGATGCCTCACTAGTCTGTTCTTACTGGTGCTAAAAAAACCTTTACAATGCAGAGCGCCTCTATTCCACGTCTTGCCCATTCACTGGCAGAATCTGAGAGTGGGCGGTCCTTAAATCTTCCCCAGCAGAGTAGCTTCTTGACCCCCAGTCTGCGCCTCCCCTCTCTGTGTGAAAGCCTACTGCACAAGGAAGGCTTGGGTAAAGGGGGACCTCCCTCCTCCCCGCTTTGCTCAGGCAAGGTATCCTGGCACTGCCTTGCATCCTCCGAGCCCTGCATCTCCTCCCCACTAGAGGCGTGGCTTCCTTCCTCCGCTGTGGAAGTGCTGCTTCCCACGATCTTTGGGGGCTCCCTGTAATCCATCCGCCTTTTCCCCTCTCGCCCCTGAGCCGATGGCAGTTCCCTGACACCAAGTAAACATGCATAGGATCGGGCTGTATATATGGAATGGGGGGGGGGGATGTTATACAAGGAGAATGTGCTATGATGTTTATGAAATTATGTATGGTTTTGAGAAACCCATGTTGGTCTGATCCCTGACCTGCAATATCAGGCATTTTGGAATCTGAGGTGGGCCCCCTCCCCACCAGGGAAGAATCGGGGAGGGAAGATCTACATCGGGAATAAAAATCAACATTGCGGCCTGCTGCCCCTGTGGATCCTGTGACCTGAAGTAGCTGCCTCAGCTTGCCTCTTGGCTGAGCTGGCCCTGTGCAATATTCTCACCGGACTATTTTGCAGGATTGCAGACTGGGGGTCAAGATCGCTGCTGCAGCCTGCCCTGGGACAGGGGAGGGGAAGGAAGTCTGTGTTGCAAATTTGTACTAGATGACACCTAGGCACTGACTGAACACCATATATTGAGCTACAGAGAAGGTATGAATTCGCACTATAGTTTTATTAGCATGGAAAGAGAGAGCAGCCAAGCTGCAATCACTTTAATCCACTTTAAACAAAAGTCCTACGGATGGTTTGCGTTCTTCTTAGTCAAACTTGGTTCTGTTCTCTGCGTTCTTTGAATTCCCTTAGATAAATGTCAAGTGGGTACTTGCTATTTACAAAGAAAGTCATCTTAGCACTTTGCATGAAATTGAAATAAATGGCCAATTTCTCCCTTCAACAGCTCTTTCTATCTCTTCCAGAGCTATAGGTAAAAAAAAATTGATCCCCTTTCCCCTGGCGAAACTCAAGGTGATAATGGCTGCAATCCTCTGCACACTTACATGGGAGTAAGCAGTGGTGCTCCAGCGGGGGGCGGGGGCGGAGAGCAGGCGGGGGCGGGGCTGGTGCGCTCCCCCCACACCCCTCTTCCTCCGCCAGTGGGAGTAAACTGGATTGAATACAGCAGGACGTACTTCTGAATATATCGAGCAATGCTCTATAAGCTGAAGATCATTTGGGTGATTCACGGGCACATTGAGACATCAAGACACAAAACGCTTGTGACCATGGCTTCACATTTTTCAAGCTCTTATTTCATAGCGGATTCCAAATATTTTATTTGCTCCAAATTGCCAGAAGAGCGTTAGTGCCATTGTGCCTGCCTTTACTACTTCTGGTGCTTGTGATTGGCACTGCTTAAAGTTGGGTAGCGTGGGTGTGCAGCTATGAGATTAGCGCAATTTAAATAAATAAATAAAATGAAGTAAAAGGACTTTACCTGAGCCATGAAGATCTGGTTGATAAAGGTATTCTGGTGCACAATTGCATTTTTGGTGGTTTTTTAAATATTAAAAAGAGCAGTAGCCTCTTTCCATCAATGCCCCTAGCACTTGTAGTCCTCTATGCCAGGCATGTCCAGCAGGTAGATCACTAGACGTCTGTGGTAGATCACTGGTAGATCAGTGGCTCCCCCCAAAGAAACCGAACAACTTTGGCCTCCCTAATTAAGAAAAGCTCAACACTGGAAGACACAAGATTTGCCCACTCTGGAAGAATGGCAGATGCAAGTGATAGACTACATGGAATTGGCAGAAATGACTGGCAGAATCCGAGACCTGGGAGAAGAGCTAGTGGAAGAGGATTGGAAGAAATTTAAAGACTACCTGCAAAAACATTGCAAAATGTTTGAATGCTAAAATGATGCAGGATATAAAGACAATTTGGCATTAGTGACATAGTTGAAAGGAATATGTAAAAAATGTTTTATAAGAATAAGAGTGAAAAAGCTAGAATAATATTATGTCAAATTTAAACAAAATGATATAAAGGGAAAAATTGGAGACATAATAGTTGAAATGTATAACATAGAATAAGATTTGAAAAAGGGTAAGGCACTGCTGAATACGATTGTGTAAAAGGGAACACAGAAAAGGGAGATGTGAGGAAGTCAGGAAGGAGGGTTATGAAAACAATAAGTAAGAAACTGGATTTTTATGTCTTTTTTATGTCTTTTTTCTTCTACTTTTTATGTTTTGTATTGCATCTTTCTGTTTTTATTTGATTGTGATAATGTTCTTTCTTTCTTTCTTTTTGGTTTTGATTGTGAAGTTTGTTTTACCGTTCAAAATTTCAATAAACATATTTTTTTAAAAAATAAAATAAAAAAAGCTCAACATTTTGGCCCTTCACCCCCCAAAACGGGCCTTCCCTCCTCCCTAAAAGAAGCTCAAAAGGTTGACCTGAACCCCACATAACAGGGCTTTCCTTCCTAAAAAAAAAAAGCTCAAAAACGTTGACCTTAACCCCCAAAAGGGGGGTAGATCACAGCCAGTCTTTAACTCTGTAAGTAGATCGCAGTCTCTTGGGAGTTGGCCACCCCTGCTCTGTACCATACTCCATGCTGTTTCATGTTATGCAGAAAGGAGAGCATCACAGGTCTCTGAAGCTAAACTAAACTTCTGTTTTTATGTGGTCTCTAATGACAGATCAATAAGTCTGTGGTACTGAGAAGCTACTATGTCCCTTGGCCAATAAAGCAAGATGAGCGCCGCAACCCCAGAGTCAGTCACGACTGGACCTAATGGTCAGGGGTCCCTTTACCTTTACCTTTATGTTCTCTGAAACACAGGGTATTTACAACTAATAATATTATGATGACGATTAATTTATTGTTATTGTTTTGTTGCTGTTATTCTATGTCTATATGTAGCTTAATGCCAGAATAGGCTTGTAAGTAGATTCAATTATTTGGATCCTCCATAGAAATAAAACAACATGAAAACAATTTAATATAACTAGCTGAACACATGGTTGCTTTCTTACAAAGTATATAAGCATGGCAAGAGGGTAGTCTCTCCAATTAATCTGAAATTAGGAGGGAAAACAAAGCTTATACTTGGGGTCAAACTACACAGGAGGTTAAGCATGGCTTTATTTTGAATCAGAAACTATTCCTGTGTAACTTGAATTGACATTGACATGTGATTACTGTATTATTTCATGGAGGTCACACAGGTACGTAAGCTGGAAAGAATGGTGAGTGATGCCCAGCAAAGATACACAGGACAATGGAGTAAGGCAGAGAGTATTAGAGAGAAACTTTTATCACCACTAAAGTGGATATTTTTAACTATGGATGTTGAAATATAAGTGAAGGATCTGCAACTGGTGAAAGACAAAGAGAGAGTTTGCATTAGTCTGGATGAGAAAGAAAGCTACGCCTGAGCTCAGTTAGGCCACAGGAACAGGGGGAGGGGGAGGAAATGATGGATATTTTGCAGTGTTTTGGAGGGAGATGTTTATCCCATTAGTTAAGGGCAAGAGGAGGGCAAGTGATGAGAGATCCAAAAACGAGGCAATGTGGTTGAGATGGTTGGAAAGAATGGTGCTGAGCAAGCAAGCAAGGTTTAGGGGTGGATTATGATGAATGGGGCTGAGGTGGGAGTGCTGGTGAGTCATGCGGAGAAAAATGTGGTGGTCATGGGAGTTGTAGCGCTTGATAAGTTTTCCCAGAGCAAGTGTGGAGAGAGAGAGAGAGAGAGAGAGAGAGAGCAGGAAAGGGCCTACTCTGCTAGAGCCTTGCCTTGTGGAGTTTGAAGGAAGAAAGAGCTGCCACCCACAGAGGCCTTAAAAGAATCCTCCGACAAGGAAGAGAAGAAACTCCAGAGAAAATTGAGGGGATTTCAAAGAGGAGAAGGGGACCAAGGAGGGGACGGTGTCAGATGGGCAGCTGAAAAGTTGGATGAGGATGCCACAGAGACCTCTTGATATTGCAATTTGGGACACCATTTGTGGTTTTAGTGAAGAGGGTGTTAGTGGTATAGGAGGACCAAAACCTAAATTTTAAGCAGAGTAGCCCCACTGAAAACGATGATCCTAAAATAATCATGCCCATTGATTTCAGTGGGTCTACTCTAAATATGGCTAACACTAGATAATAACCCTATTATGACTAGTACTGGATAGAGCCCTTGTGCATATTGGGGACAGGGAGTTTAGTAGGAACTCTTCAAAACACAGTGTGTGGCTCTCTCAAGTCAAAACTTCCATGCCTACTTCATTTACAGCCACATTCTTGACATCATTCTTCCAAATGCAAAATATTGCCTTGGCTCAGGACAAAGGATCGTTTGAGCACGACTGTTATCCAGTCGGCTTTGGCTCCTTTCTTGTACATTCCAGTTGCATGGCTCAGGCGGTTCTTTCGAAGCATCATGTTTCATCTCTTTTTTCCTCACCAGAGGAGACGATTTTGAACTGGCTTACTGGAGAACTGACTCACACAAGTAGACAGACCCTTTTGTTTCAGTAGATCCCATCTCTACAGATGCTGTGCAGACAAACCCGTGATTTGCAACCCCATTTAAGCAGGAGTGAATGCGGAGATTAGTGCAGGAAGAAGGGGGGGGGGAGTGCTTAGCCTCACAGGTTGGGAACCTGAGGCCTGGGGGCTGAATGTGACCATCCAGAACTTGCCCTCGGGACTCTCCTCAGGCAAACACTCCCTTCCCCAGGCCACACATTCCTCATTGGCCCAGCTTCTCACCCTTGGATGTTTTTGCTTGGCTTGAACCCTCATAGTGCCTCTTGCTTATCTGTATGGGAGAGAGAGAGAGAGAGAGAGAGAGAGAGAGAGAGAGAAACCAACCTAGTGTACAAAGCTAACATTTATATTCATTGCCCCACCCACTTTTGCTTCTGGCCCCGCCCAGCACTGGCATGTGGCCCCCAACATGTTGTCCAAAAAGGAATGTGGCCCTCAGTCTAAAAAAGGTCTCCCTATTCCTGCTTAACTATTTCCTGCCCCTCCATTTTCCTCTCCAACCCTTTCCCCTCAAGTTGCTTTTTCCTATTTAACCGGCAGCTGCATCTTCAAGCCTCAGCTTCAAGCAGTGTGGAAGGGAAGAGCCCATGGCGGTAAGTAGCTGTCAGTAATTTAGTACTTCCAAGCAGTCCTGTTTTTAAATAGCCAACTCAGAGGAAAAACAGAGCACAGCAAGGAGGTATTGGACAAGGTTTCCTTATCTCGACAGGAAATGTGATTACCTCAGTGCTGCAACCGCATAGGATCATAGGAAGTTGCCTTCTGCCAATTCACACCATTGCTTCATCTGGTCTGCTGCACTGTCTGGCAGCTTTCGGAAAGACATATTTCCTAGACATGCCAGGGATTGAACTTGTAACCCTCCTGTATGCGAAATTCGGACATGTCTCTCATACGAGAGCAAACGAAATCTATGGTTTCCCGACATTCATTTTGATTGGTTCTGCTTACCCTGAAGCACACATGACTTTAAGCCGGAAGGCCGATGCCTCTTTCTGTTTATGCAGCCACTTTTTGCCAGGCTGTGCATAGAGATCTTTCATTTCAAGTTTCCTTATCATGCTCGTAGATCAGAGCTCTCCCCAGCCTTTTTCACCCCCCAGACCTCTCACTCTGCTGACTGCTCCTTTCCTGTTTACCCGACATGCTGTCTTGTTACCCAGTGGGATGTTTTCCCTTCGCAGCTCACTGAGGCGCCCAGCTTGTTTTCCTTCTCAAACTCTACTAGGATCTGCTGGTGTCTTTTGAGGCAGACCATCCTGTTTTCAGACAAAGTTCCTGTCTTCTTGAGAACAATTGTTTCTAGGTGTTTTCCCAACAGCATCTGCAGTTGACCTTTTGAAAACCGCATGACATCCCCTCCCTTTTTCCCCTCCACTCACACTTTGCATGTTCTCAAACAGTCTGCTTTCAAAAGGTATAATGGACCATCATAAGCTATGTGGGTATGATCTCACAGAAGACAATTTCAAGGCATGATATTGTACTGCTGCTGTATGAACATGCTGGGCAAATTCCTGGTAGGGCTGCCTTTAAAAACAAATTTATTAATGACAATAATCCACCAACAGCATACAAATCAATACGTATGGCTAACCTGATCCAAAACACACACACACCTCACTCACACACGAAAACAAAGATCACCACAGCCAATCACAAGCAAACAATCACACCCTAGACCAACCCCAACCTCTCTCACCACCAAAGGAACACAAGTGAACAACACAAGCAACGCTGACACCAAACTCTACATACATTAAACATAATAGAAACACCGCCACCCGACCCCACCCCCATCCATCTTCCCTCTCTCCACCCCCCCTTTTCTTCCCTCTTTCTTTTTTCTTCTCCCCCTAATGCCTCAACAAATGAAACGGATTTGTAAAAATGTTACATGAAAAAGAAATATACGAGGCACTACACTTCTGTAAAACAAGAAAATCCTTAATAAAATATTAAAAAAACAAAAAAAAACAAATTGATAATAATAATAATAATAATAATAATAATAATAATAATAATAATGGTTTGATGCATATGGACATTTTGCTCCTTCTCTATTCTTGACTGTGTTGTTTCAGGCTACCCTGCACAGCCCAGAATCTGGCCTATTGTGATGTGTGAACCATGAGCAGTAAACCAGTAACATTAATAACAATAACTAATTTGTATGCTTTAAATTAGGCATAGGCAAACTCCAGCCCTCCAGATGTTTTGGAACTACAATTCCCATCATCCCTAGCTAACAGGACCAGTGGTCAGGGATTATGGGAACTGTAGTCTCAAATCATCTGGAGGGCCGGAGTTTGCCTATGCCTGCTATAAATTATTTACAGGATAGTTCCAACATGGGTACCATATCAGAAAAACAAAAACAAAAAGTCACTCATCTTCTTTGAAGAGGGTTTTGTTTTAATGGCTTTTCTTTCTACCTTGGTGAAACGCAACCAACGTGCTCTGGTTTTCTGAGGTAATTTGTTTTAAAATCCCCACTACCTTCCTAGGTTAATTAAGTGTTTCCATTTCTTTGTTTTGAGGAAAACGTATCAGAGCTTCTGAGTGCTACCTGGAAACTTTGGGTTGTTATCCAACATTATATTCAGAGAAGACACAGTGAAATTAATGGACTTGGCAAACTGAGTTCCATTCCTTTGAATGGCTGTACTCTGAGTATAACTTCCTTGGCTACAACCCATAATGACAAAGGCCACTGTATCAGAATGGACTCCGTGAGCTACCTTTGCCGGTCAAACAGTTCCAGAAACAAGCCTGTCAACAATGTGGTTTAATGTAATGTTATTGGGGAGGTCACAATGTCAATTTCTCTGACTGTAGGATCTTTTGCAGGTCCTGATACCTTTATTTCCATTGAAAGCAAAAGGCATTCAGATTCCTGACTCTGAACCATTCATGGGCATAAGCTCATAAATCAAGGTTTTTGAAGCTCTGGTAATTAACAGGCTGAAGTTACACAACCCCCAGCCTTCCACTTAGATCTTCTCAGACAAAGTCAATACATCCAGCTGAATAAATAACATCAGGCCAGGGATCCCTTCCTCTGTTAAGTGATAAAAAGCTGATAATGTCTCCATCTTCCCAAAGCACAGGTGCTGCGGATCAGAGGAGCCAGTAATGCCAACTGAGTCCCCTTTGCAAAGGAAAAGGCATGGATTGCTTCATATTGACTTACTGTTTAAATGAGATCAGTGTGAGTTTTTATTCTTTTTCTTTTGGGGCTAAGGATGCAAGCCTAATCACTCAAATGGTGTGAACTGGCAGGCTTCCATTCAGCCTCACCGCTTTACACCAGCTATGGCTGAGTGACTTCGATTGTACCTTCCGCTTTCCTGAAACCTAATGGACTTCTGGCATTCACAGATGCACTCTCCTCTCTTCCCCAGCCTCCTCTCACAGGCTAGCTTCCTGCTTCTGATTTCCTCCTTGCCTTTCTCTTCCACCTTTGAAAGAGTGAGATAAATATCCTCTTACAATGCAGAGGATGAAGCTCAATATTACTTTCATGAGCATGACTTGTGGAGAGGGCAAAACAACCTCAATGGCCAACTCTGTATAGCTGGGCCATGTCGCTATAAGAACCCCCCTTCTCCCATATATAAAAATAAACGTCAGAGGCCCTGCTGACTCTGTGTGTCCCATTGCTGTTAAGATGTACCATGTTTAGGGAGGTTTTTAATATTTGTTGTTTTATTCTGTTGGGAGCCGCCCAGAGTGGCTGGGGAAACCCAGCCGGATGGGCGGGGTACAAAGAATAAATTATTGTTGTTGTTGTTGTCATCGTCATCAACACATTAGATGGACTCGGGCCATTTTCCCATGTGTCGCCGAAGCAGACCTGCTAGTTTCCATCTTTCTTCCATCAGAGGTTTAAACCTGGGCAGCAGATTAGGCAGCCACACAGGTCTCCCTGGCTGCAATGTATTGGGTTTCTATTTAAACTATAGCATTTCTAGAGTTGCATGTGCAAATGTTATGCTAACCAGTGTCCTCTCCTATCCTCTAGTTTAGTGATGCATTTTCTCTCTTTCAGCAAAGCGTACGTGGACACCACTGTCTTGTACCACTTAACCAGGAATAAGGGAACTATAAACCAGGGGTGCAGGAAAAGGAAAAGACCTGCATTCCAGGACACCCACAATTCCTGAAGGATGCTGCACACATCCCCTGGTAGCCCTGCCATCTCGAGTTGGCCTTCTGCAGTGATAAAAGGCAATGTAAGCCACCCTACCTTAGTTGTCGCAACCAAGTCATTTAGAATGTTATGCAGAACCCTACAAGATCCTAGGAAACACTGATTCCCCCCCCCAAACTGTATTGTTTCTCTTGATTTTTTCTCCATCACAACATACAGAGAGCTGGATAGTCTGACGGGTTGCATAAGTTGGGTTTAATGAGCAGTACTGACATTTGAACCTAAGAATGAACAAATGATTTAGGCTGCAATCCTAACTATGTTTACGCAGAAGTAAGTTTCAGTGAATTAAATGAGCTTACTCCCAGGTAAGTGAAGATTTAAATTGAGCTACTACTTCTTATATATAGCATGGTCCCTATCCCCCTTGATTATAAGTCAACTATTTTGATAGAACTGCCTTTCTACTGCTTCCAGATATCTACTTGCTCTTCTTTCCTACCGTGCCGGTCCTATTAAGTGCTGTCTATTGATGGAAAGAACTGTGTGTGGGTTTTTTTGCTTTTGCTTTTGAAGGGATGGTGACATAGCTGAAAAAAGAATTAATCTAATGTGCAAAAAAATATTAGAGGACGGCTATATCCAGTGTAGATTCATTGCAATTAAGTGAGATGCCTAGCTTAGCTTCACTGGCTCTAGAAGGTCTACACTCTGAGTAGCACCAGCATTTGATACAACCCAGATTCTTTAATGAGAGAGAAAGGTTAAATCTTAGTTTACTAGCACCGGAAAGGAAAGGATTTATCATGCTGGCATAAAAACTGACTTCAGAAGGACTTGCCTGCTCTTGCATAGCCTGGCATGTCATGTCCTCGACCTTTCAGCGATGCCCAGCACTGAAACACAGGCAAGCCCAAGGAGCCAAATAGTTTACTTTGTCATCTGTTCACATCTGGTAACTAAGGTTTTGGAGCTTTTGGTACAGGCAACTCTGTTGGGAGATGACATTCTCCTTCGGGAATTCGTCATGCTAGAACACATTTTCAAATGGCAAAACCATTTTTTTAAAGCTGCCCACTTAAACTTTTCCACAAATTTAAAAGGCATAGCTACAACTCTAATGCCTTTTAAAGGTAAAGGTAAAGGGACCCCTGGCCATTAGGTCCAGTCGTGACCGACTCTGGGGTTGCGGCGCTCATCTCGCTTTATTGGCCGAGGGAGCCGGCGTACAGCTTCCGGGTCATGTGGCCAGCATGACTAAGCCGCTTCTGGTGAACCAGAGCAGCGCACGGAATCGCCGTTTACCTTCCCACTGGAGCGGTACCTATTTATCTACTTGCACTTTGACGTGCTTTCAAACTGCTAGGTTGGCAGGAGCAGGGACCGAGCAACAGGAGCTCACCCCGTCGCAGGGATTCGAACCGCTGACCTTCTGATCAGCAAGTCCTAGGCTCTGTGGTTTAACCCACAGCGCCACCCACGTCCCTAATGCCTTTTAGGCACAGATATCTCAAAGAGAAATCCCCATTTCCCTCTTCCTTCTACTTCAGGGATGGTGAACTTGTGACCCCCCTAATGGTGTTGGACTACAATTCTCATCCTCTTTGACTCTTGGCTACACTGGGTGGGGCTGATAGGAGTTGAACAACATCTGGAGGTTCGCAGGTTCCCTATCCCTGCTTTGTTTGGCTATCCCGTTCCGGCAAGAGAAGCTTCCTTTGTTCGCCACCTGTCAGTTTAGTGCAAATAGCAATTCCCAAAGAAAGAACAATACCATGCAGGCTTGTGCACGTCATAACACAGAACTTCCCCGAGTGAATTGCACTTAGTGAGCAATACCCAGAACTCACCAATCCCGGGACATGGACAGACAGGTTATTTATGTATTTTATTTATTTATTTTAAAAATGAATGCACCACTTGATTGCTAAAAACAAACAAACCTCAAAACAGTTTACAAAATATAAAACCATAGAATCAAGAAAAAAAACCACAGCCCTACTTTAAAACATACTAAAGTTAGAATACTAAAACGGATTAACATTACCTTAACTTGTCTTGCCGAATGCAAGGTGGTTCTTTTAAAAATGAGATTCAGAAGTAATACAAAACACAAGTGAGTGAGAAGATTGAAGGTTTTGTTCTAAACAGCAAGCAATATATATGGTACATACCAAGCAAGCACTTCAATCTGCCACTTGGAAGCCCTCAAGAAGTGGCGAAGTGACTCTCCCAGGTAGCCCCAGGTTGCACAGCCCTGTGGCCATCAGTCCATGCACGAGCTTCTGCCCACACCCATCTGATTTATAGATAGCTACCTGTTAGCCTGTGTTGCTTGTCGGACTGGCTACGTGCAGAGTATTCATTAGCCACCCTCTCCCAGTGCCTCACTTTCTCCAAACAATGCCCAACATCAAAGAAGGTACCTAGCCCTCTCACTTCTTCCTAACTGATTAAGACATTAAAGGCTGTTCTCAGACATCAAACAGCTTTGATAGGGAAAAGGAAGGAGCAGGGGGCAGGAAGGATAACCATGTCAGATCACTAACTCCTCGAAATACAAATATATTCCGGATAGATTGCCCATACACAACTTTCTAAGCATCTAAGTAGGCTTGTCTAAACAAGAATGTTTTCAGCAGGAGCCGAAAGGAGTAAAGCAAAGGAGCCTTCTTAATCTCAAAAGGCAGGGAGTTCTAAAGTGTGAGTGGTTGTCACACTAAATGACCGGGTTCTTACGAATATAGAACGGGTATTATCTGCCAAGGGAGTCAGTGTGGCTTGCTTGAATTTGATGTATAGAAAGGGTGGGAAGTTTGGAAGCAATCTTATTGGTTTCTATCAGACGTTGTCTCCTTTGACTGGTGGCAGAAGCTCAGGATCTCATGGAGAAACCGCTTGCAGCACCTGTCCCTTGCTCCTTTCTGTTGGAACACACCTGGGGGGGGCACACGCAGCCCTCGGAATGAGACAGACCTCTCCGGGCATCTTCCTGATGAAGCGCAGCCCGGCACATTCACAAATCAGTCCCGATGCGCACTTGCAACACATATTAAAAGACATGTGCATTCTCACTCAGCTGGGTATAGCAGAAACGATCGTGGAGTGTGAGAGTAACATTCTAAGTGATTTATTAAGCAATATATACAGGACAAAGCAACCATGGTGTCCTCTCACTTCTCCTTCAAGAGAGAGACCAAAAAAACAAAAAACAGTACAAAAGTACAGTACAGCGGAACAGATAAGACTGACTTCCGTTCTAAGATTTTCCAAGCCTAGAAAGTAAACACATGTGATGTAACAATCACACATCCAGCAACGGAGGAGTGAAATGCTAACACTTTCCACTAGGACAGGGTCGCCAACATCATGCCCTCCATAGATATTAACTCCAAATCCCATCAGCTCCAGCCACTTGCGCAATGGGACAGGTATGATGGGAGTTGGAGTCGAACAACATCTTGAAAGCATCGCATTGGCTGTCTTGAACTAGGGATGTTAGGAATTGAAACATGCAAAGCATGTGCTCTACCGCTGAGCAGTAAATCTTGAACCCCTGTCTCAGGTGTGTTTCTATGAAAGCCTCCAGGCAAGGGAGCTATTCAGGTGCTGAACAAAGAGATTTGGGGATGGTGAAATGTGATACACAAGTTGATAGAATCAGACTTGAGAGCTCTGGGGTCAAAGCTGCCTTCATCCATGAACTGATTTAGTAGCCACAGGTAGGCCAGTATTTCAGTTTCCATTTTTCATCCGTTAAATAATGATGATGATGATTCATAGCAATGATTCACTTCCCAGTAAGGCTGTTGTCTAGGAAGTCCCATGGTTGTGCCACATGCTGTGGGAACAAATGAAAAGAAAGTGTTAGTATATTTTATAGAGCTCAAGAGAAAGCCTCAGTAAAAATAGTTGACTAAAGTCATAAAAACCAGATTGATGCAATAGCAAATCTTTAAACCTTTTCCTTCCTTCACTGCTTTTCGTGGAGACCAGGTGCTGTGTCCAAGATTTCACAGGAAATATTTAATATTATTTTAAGTGTAACAAACAAACAAACAAACAAACAGGTGAGAAGCCAAGGGAGCCTAATGTGCTAACACATACATGCACAGACTCTCAGCACTATTAAATGTATTTTTTGGAGGTGTCAACATGTTGGCACAAACCATATAACCGTATTGTTTGGGGACATTTCAGTAAGGAGAATTTTCCTGCAGGTTTCTGAATTGGGTTAGAAAAGCACCCCACAAAACGATTAATATTAAATGTCAGTTGTAATAAAGTTGTTTCTAAACAGTTTTCAATATTTTCGTCACATTTTTACTTCAATAGTTTTTGTTGTTTGTAATTGAAAATTAAAGCCACAAGCTTATTAAATAAACAGAAACGGACAAATCATCACTGCACAGAAAAAGTCTACCTCCTCTGAATATGTCTTTTCTGGCTCTGGGTCTTCTGACATAACAGACATATCTGGGGCCAAAATATCACCCCTGTACATTGGAAATCTCATTGTGGTAGAAGATACACCACCAAAACTCTTAAATGTGATTCCCCCTCTGCACACAATTGGATGAAGGCTAACAAACTATATTTACCAAAATACTTTGTGAGGAGCGACAAATCCTAAGTAAGTATGAGAGTGCTTTAAATGTATGCTGTGTCTGTAGCTGGGGTGGAAGGGAAAATAGAATGAGGCTGTCATGGAAGGAGACATGGCTGGGATAGTGTACGTGAGCAACCATGCTGCAGCATTTTGTTGCAGGTCCCACATGTAATCTATCCAAACATTCTCTTTCAAATATGTGATGAATTCAATTAGCATTGAAAATGTCAGGAATATAGAACAGTTTTATTCTATAATGCAATTTCCAGACAATTTGTATAAGATGTCTCTCTCCTCACTACTTTAAAATATTTTTTCTCTTTAAAACCAACGCACCCTAATGTGTTGAGACAATAATAAATCAGACATTAATTTAAAAATCCTGCTAATCATTTCATAGATGCATGGGAAGTTCAGTGCGTAAAATCCCTCACACAAGCATTTGAGAGCATGAGAGGAATTCTGCTAAGCTGCCACAAATGTCAAAAGTTCTTAGCTATCCTGACACTTACATAATTGCCCTACACAGACACCCACACACTGGAATAGACCCTAAACCATTCAAAATTGCATGTGTGAGTCATGGTGTGTTCCTATTATGCAAAATTCCACCCAAATTTTTATTCCCAGAAAAGATTTATAATGCTGAAAGTTAAG